CCTTGTCGTGGCGGTGGGGCTTAGTACCTGGGGTGCAAGCCAGCACCTCGGGGAACAAACTGGACCAATATGTTGGATTGCTCCTGATTCGTTCTTCCCTAAAGAACCGTACAGGATGCGATTAAGGAGAGGACTTTATGTCTGAAGAGAGTGTAGAGTAAACCTGAATCTCAAGTTCTAGTGTCTGGCGAGGAGATGCATGGCCGGGGGGTTAAACTCGGTTATTAGGACACCAGAAGGGTGCGACCTTTCTATAATCTTTAAAGTAATGATGTCAGAAAATAATTCTTTAACTACCCCAGGAGGGTTAAATCCCTCCCACGGTAAAAATACCGTGGCAGCCGATCCGCATCGTATTCTGGGGGCGGATCAAACTGATGATATTTCACAACGACCTTTGGCTAAATGTACTACGGATAAATCGAATTTGCAAATGATTGGGGATACCAGTTTGGAGTTGGTGGCACCGTGTGCTAACTCAACTCCTCCTATACTAGGTGAAATAGCTGCTCAGGCAGTTGCTCCATTGGAGTCTGACTCTGCTGATTCCATGGTTAGTCGTTCAAGTGGCCGCATTATGTGTCCACCACCTTGTTTAGTAAGTGAGAATACGAAGGGCCGATTTTGGCGCAACAGGAAGCGCATTAGAAAAGACGAGGGCAGTTCTAGTGATTCTCTTGCTGCATCTGAAAACCGTTCAGGTTATTGTAAAGCTCGAAGGATGGAGCTGGAGGATCGAGCGGAAGTTGATCTTCTTTCCTTTAATTCAGCTACAGGCGACGATACTGGATTGGATGTTCAAAAACGAATCGTTTCTAACCTTGAGGTTGTTGAAAGGGTGGCAGGAAGTTCAAGGAATTTAAAAGGCACGTTTGTTGCAGCTCTTAGAAAGGCTGCCAGAGAAATTAAAGAGGATGCTGGAAAACTCGCAGATAGAACGTTGACTGATGAGACTAGTGCTCTCAGAGCTGAGAATGAGCGTCTCCGAGTTCAGTTAGATGTACTCCAAAAGGAAATGAGGGAGTTACGAGCTTTGATACAATCTGGTGCCAAGGATGCGGCTCCAGTTCAATGTCTGGAAGATTTTGAAGCTAAGATGATGCGCCAGATTGGTAATATGATCAATGCTCGTTTAGAGGGTTTAGAACCTCGACTAAATCCAGTTGTTAGACTTCGTCCTCCTCTTGCAGTAGATAGAATAAATGAGAAGAAGAAGGTAGGCGGTTCTGCAGGGCCTGTCGCTCAAGCAATTTTAGATGCACCTCAGTCCAAGATGCAGAAAAAAAAGAAAAACAAAAAAAAGATGAAGGCATTACATGAGGGTGTTAAGAGTGTTGTGGTCTCTACCACTGTCCCTTCTGGGACAACTATCACTCCTGAGTCTGATGATGTGCGACCTTCAAATGTCGTGTCGGATGGAGATTGGGTGGTAGTGGCTAGGAAGGGGCCAGGACAAGGAGTAGGTAAAGCGTATGAACAAATTTCAGGAAGGAATCGTAAAGGAAAGGAGGGGACGCAATTGCGACAAGTGGGGGCTAAAACATCTTTTGCTTCCGGTCCTAAAAAGAGCAAAATCAAAGCCCCGCGATCTGCTGCTGTTGTCATTACTTTGACGGAGGAAGCACAGGGAAAGGGCGCTACTTACGCTGCGGTCCTTAGAGACGCGAGGGAACGACTCAGCCTCAATGCGCTTGGTATAGAGGCTGTAAGGTTCCGACGTGCTATGACTGGAGCTACGATTATACAAATTCCAGGTTCTAACAATGATACTAAGGCAGATACTTTAGCTTTAAAGCTCAAAGAACTTTATAAGGAAGATGGCATTCGTGTAACAAGACCTGTTAAAACTGCTGATGTTAGAATTTCTGGTTTAGATGACTCTGTCACTGTAGAAGACATTCGTCAGGCCATTTTGGAAAAGACCAAGTGCTCTTTAGATCACATACGGGTTACCAACATGCATCAAGATAGATCGGGTCTGTTCGCAGTATGGGTGAGTTGTCCAGTAGTAGCAGCAAAACAATTGATGGAGGGTCGTTTTTGTGTGGGATGGGTGGCGGCTAGAGTTACTTTGCAGGGTCCACGGGAGTTGCAATGCTTTCGATGCCTACAGAAAGGTCATGTCGCTAGCCGCTGTAATTCTGACGATCGAAGTCATTTATGCTATCGCTGTGGTCAGTCGGGCCACTTGGCTGTTAACTGCTCCAACAAGGTACATTGTTTATTATGTGCTGATGCAGGCCGGAATGCTAATCACCGCCTTGGGGGAAATAGTTGCTCAGCCCCTATTGTAAGGGTTTCAAGGAGGTTGTCTTCTAAAAAGACTGTTATGAATATCCTACCGAGCGGGGATAAGGATATGGAGGTGGTTGAAAGCTCTAAATCTCAAGATAGGTCTTAGATTCCTGCAGGCGAATATAAATCACTGTGCCAGAGCTCAAGATCTCCTATGTCAGAGCTTGGCACAGTGGTCTATTGAGGTGGGAATTATCTCAGAACCGTATTTTATTCCGGAAAGGTATAATTGGGTTGGAGATGTTGATGGATTAGTTGCAATAGTTGTTAATAATACGAATAATGACGATGCACCATCAATTGATACATTTAGAAGGAAATCTGGTTGTGTAGCTGTCAAAATTGATAATATTATTATCATTGGAATATATTTTTCACCTAATCGCAGTCTGACTGAGTTTGAGTCATTTTTGTCGGATGTGAGTTCCCTTATTCGGGGAAGTAGGCCGTTTGAGGTTGTGGTTGCTGGAGATTTTAATACGAAGTCTGTAGCCTGGGGGTCTCCTGTATCGGATGTCCGGGGCGATTTAGTTTTAGAATGGGCTGCAGAACACAGCCTAGTCCTACTTAACCACGGGGTTACAAATACCTGTGTTCGAATGCGTGGTGGTTCCATCGTTGACTTGACTTTCGCGAGTCCAGCTTTCGCAAGTCTTATTCGCGATTGGAGAGTATTGGCGGAGGTTGAAACACTCTCTGACCATCGCTATATACGATTTAGCACTAACCTTAGAGCTGAACCAGCTGCAGTTTCACAAAGGCCAGAAGCTATTGGGCCAAGATGGTCAGTAAAGGGCTTGGATAGGGATGCGTTAGAGTCGGCTTCAATCATTAGCAGTTGGTGTCCTATTCCTATAAGCAGCACAATTGACGGAGAGGTTGAGTGGTTTGAGCGTGAGATGTCTCACATTTCGGATGTCTCAATGCCCAGAGTTAGGACGCCTCATAGTCGTAGGGGAGTGTATTGGTGGAACAGAGAACTTGCTGACCTAAGGTCTCTTTGTGTGTCAGCTCGCCGTCATTATACTCGATATAGAAGGAGGCATAGAGATAGTAGGGACGTCAATGTGGAACGTCACATTTATGCTGACTATCAAAACGCTAAATTGCACCTCAAAAGGAAGATTTCTGAGGCAAAACAAGGTGCATGGAAAGAGCTTCTTGACTCATTAGAACTAGATCCGTGGGGACGGCCTTATTTGCTTATTATGAATAAGCTACGCCCTTGGGCTCCTCCCCTTACTTCTAAAATGGATTCTCAGTTTCTGGAAACAGTTTTGGAGACACTTTTTCCTCATCATGACTCTGATTTGTCTTCTTACTGGGATAGTCAAAATATTAATACTATGTACATCCCAGAGGTGACATCTCTAGAAATTGAAGCAGCTGTTAACAAAATGCGGAGAAAAAGAACTGCTCCGGGTCCTGATAGACTACATGCCAAAGTTTGGGCTCTTGCCCTACAGTTTGGAATGGGTGAAAGATTTCGTCGATTATTGTCGTCCTGTCTGAGAAATTCTTCCTTTCCCAATGCATGGAAACTAGGCAAGTTGGTATTGTTACGTAAGGTGAGGCGTCCTGTTGATTCGCCTTCGGGTTATAGACCAATTGTGTTGCTCAATGAGGCAGGTAAATTGTTTGAACGCGTAGTAGCGAATCGAATAGTTCAACATTTAATATCCGATGGGCCGGATCTATCTGAATGTCAATTCGGTTTTCGTCAAAAAAGGTCTACTGTAGACGCGATTGCTCGTCTAAGAGATATATCAGATGAAACGACGTCTCGTGGTGGATTAGTTTTGGCAGTTTCATTGGATATCAAAAACGCTTTTAATACTCTACCTTGGAGTGCTATAATGGATGGTTTAGAATATCACCGAGTGCCAACATATTTGTCTAAAGTGATTGCTTCCTACCTTTCTGACAGAAAAATAATTTTTCCTTCTCGGGACGGTTGGGGTCAGTATGAAATTAGGAGAGGGGTCCCACAGGGGTCTGTTCTAGGGCCACTTTTGTGGAATCTAGGGTATGACTGTGTCCTTCGAGCTGTACTATTAGAGGGTGTAAGTGTAGTTTGTTACGCAGATGATACCCTTGTGGTGACAAGAGGTACAGACTTTAATGATGTAATATCAAAAGCTACTGCTGGCGTGGCACAAGTGGTAGATTGTATAAGAAGACTCGGGTTGGAGGTGGCCTTTGAAAAGTCAGAAGCTATTCTCTTTAATGGTCTACGGAGAGGCCCCCCACCTGGAGCTGAGATAAATGTAGGCGGTGTTTCTGTGATGGTCGGGACAAAATTAAACTATCTTGGCTTAGTTCTTGACTCTAGATGGAATTTCAGGGCGCACTTTGCGTCTTTGACGCCTAAACTTACTGCCACGGCTGCTGCTCTATCTAGAATTATGCCAAATATTGGTGGACCAAAGTTCAATCATCGGAAATTATTTGCAGGAGTAGTCAGATCCAAGGCTTTATATGGATGCCCAATATGGGCAGAAGACTTGTGTGAGGCCAATAGGGCTATGCTGCGGCGGTCACAGCGCCTTGTTGCGATTCGTATGATTCGCGCATATCGTACTTCATCTTTTAATGCGGTGTGTATGCTTGCCGGTACAGCACCCTGGTACCATGAGGCTGCTGCCTTGGCAGATGTGTACTGGAAGAGAGCGCAATTTAGAAGGGTAGGTGGCGAACCAACACGTGAACATTTAAGCATATGGCAAGAGGAGGGCCGGGAAACCACAATCTTACTGTGGAAAGATGAGTTGGCTAACTCTAGAGTTGGTGTTTGGACTATAGAAGCTATTCTCCCAGTTTTTGATGATTGGCTTAATAGGCGATGGGGTACTTTGTCGTATCGGCTGACGCAAGGCCTAACAGGTCACGGCTGTTATGGTTCGTACCTTTACAAGGTGGTTCGAAGGGAACCATCCCCTATTTGTCATAGATGTGGGTGCCCTGAAGACACTCCCCAGCATACTTGGTTAGATTGCCCTGCATGGTGTCTTCAGCGGAGGACCATGTTTTCTATAATAGGCTTGGTCCAAACTGGTGGCAATACACCCACTCTCTCTACCCTTGTCAGAATTATGCTACAGGATGAAAGTAGATGGCGGGCTGTCAAAGACTTCTGTGAGGAGATATTTGCTATTAAAGAAAGTGATGAGCGGGCCCGAGAACTTGATCCTTTGGCCTCTGAAGTGAGAAGAAGAAGAGAACGACCTCGGCGTGTTTTGCGCTGACAGATTGGTCTCACACTACTGCGTTTGAAGGGCTAAAGGGTGGGTCGCACGTTTGCAATGCGGCAGGGCGCTTCTAAAATGAAGGTTTTGGACAAGGTCACAACCGTTACCAACCTTCATTTAACTGCGCACAATGACGAGCCCTTGGGGTTTTAGTGGGTGTGAGTCCCACACTCCCTACACCACCAGCCCTGGAG